GGGGCTTTGGGAACCATCCTGAGGCTTTGCACACCACGCACACTCCATCCTCTTCTGGCCCTTCTATGTGCACTTGGGGGTCAGAGCCCATCCCTGTGGGAAGGAAGCTGTGGAGCCCCAGGAGGCCACCTTGGGCCCTGAGACCCCAGAGTTGCATACAAGTTACACAACTTGAGAGGGAAGGTTTTCGTGTTGAATTCTGGGAGTTCAATGGGAAAAGTGAATAAAAGGAAGGAGCACAGGGACCCAAGGGACCCACACAAGGCAGTGGCCTCCTTTCCCCAGTTGTGAGGCCCAAAGCAAACAGGAAGAATTTGGTGCCAGATCTCATTCTTGAATCTCCAGTCTTCCCACCTCACACACTCTCCTGGGACATCTGCCTCTCTGTGTATATCACGCCCAAAATTATATTAAGTAGCCACTTTGTCTCCTGAATTCTCTTTCCCTACACCCATGTTCCCATGAGTTATCTTTACCAGGTTTCCTCACATTCACTTCAAACTCAAAATTCCACAACTGAATTCATAAATTTGCACCACTTGTGATAAAATGATTATTAAAATGTCCCCAATTCCTCACCCTTCTTTAGAGCCAGTTCTCCCACTTCCACAGACTTTTTACTGCCTTTATCTTCTGCCTTTGGGCCCAGTCATGGGATTTGATATACTCAATGAGAAATTAGCTAATGTGACTAGTGCAGAGGTTTGAAAAGCACTTGCACCTTGGTTTTACCCTCTGCCATTTCCACAGCAGGACAGTCCTGGGCTACCCAGTACAGGATGGACTCATGTGGCATTACCTGATCAACCTCCTACAGCTACCCTAGGTCAGTCAAATGATCACCTGAAACGTGAGCACACCCAAACAAAGTGCACCTGGTGAACTTTTCAAGCTGACTGTAAGAAAAAATAAAAATTACAAGTAAAAAGCTTAATTCTCTCTGTTGAATAAAAGAAGATTCTCCCCCTTTTTCTTCTACCATTTGCTTTAGGAAACTGCAATTACACATAGGTACTTTCTCCTCTTTTGAAATATTTATACATGATTTTCAAAACTGGTTAGGTTTTTTGCCAGCTTTGTGGCTCAGGAATGTCTTTCTCAAGGACCTGGGACCCATTTCTTTGAAATAAAAACATCAAGGCAGATAGCAACCCTTTGCCACTTTTCTGTGGAAAGATAGGAGCCTAACTTATTTGGACATCTTGCTCCAAGTTGTAAAACCACCTCCTGTCATAAGCTAGAGGAGTTTATTCTTCTTCCAGATAAAGCCTATTAGATGGTCACCCAACTACCAGTAAATTTAGAAGGAATTATGTGGAATAAATTATGCTTTGAGCCCTCTCAGTTGAGGATTACTTATTGTTCATCTTGAAAACAAGTATACAGGAGATTATATACGCTTGGCTCTTAAAAGAAAGATGAAATTCCTTTCTAGTTGTGTAATTCCTTACCAGATCATGCATGATATGTATCATATTCTGGTTTGATGCTTATTCAGTTTTAAAAGTGTTTTCTCTTAGGTTGGGAGATTTTGTTTGTAATTATATTTTGAAACATAACCAAATATGTATGAGTAAACCCAGGTGATTATTAGCCAAGTTCAGCCCCAATTAGTTGAACTCCCTCAGTAACTACATTAAATACATTTTTATTGCTGGATGCACCTGAGATTGCGGCTGTTTGTTACACAGCATTATTACAGCAGTACAACTGACACATAGGTATCAATAGTCCTGCCACAAACAACAAATAATTCAAATAAAACCCTGGCAGTCTCTGAAGTCTTCTCCTCCTCTTCCAAACTTTGTGCCCACAAGTCTGTTCAGTTGAATCTGGTTTCTAAACCTGTCTGACCCCTCCTCTCCCACCCCACTGCCATGCCTCAGGTCAGGCACTCATTCTCTCCACATCATAACTGCACTCCAGGCCTCCTTCTTGCTCACCTCCCATCCATCCATTCACAGCTGCCAACATGAGCATTCCCAGCATGGCTCTGTTTAGGATTCCCCCTAGTCGGCATCCAAACTCCATAACAGAGAACACAAAGCCTTTACTGATCTGGTAATTGCCTTCCTCTCCAACACTTCTCCCCAAACTCCACCATCTGAGACCCTCGGGGCTCACACACTCAACCCCAAGAACTATCTAGTCAAATGCAAGTAGCCACAATCACCATGTTGTATGCCCTCTGCCTTTTCACCTTCCAGCCCATCAACCTCAAGGGCTCTTGTGCCAGCCCAGGTGTCCACTCCTAATGACCTCATCCTGACACCTGTGAGTGGTGTTAAAACAGGACCTTGTCTTTATTCCAGTATTGCCACTACTTACCATCCTCCCCTCATTCCTCCTACCAACCATGATGGCCTCATTATATCCAGGATAATCAACCATACTCCTAACTCAAAGGTTTCATGCCAGGTGCTCCCTCAGCATTAAACTCTGGGCCCCCAGATATCCACCTGGCGAAATACCTACTTCCTTTGAGCCTTGCTCAGACTTTCAATAAGGCTCTGCCTGAGCCCCTATGTAACACTACAGCTTGTCCTAACTTCCCAGCCCACACATTGTTCCCCTTTTTTAATTCTACTTGGTCTTTTGTCTTAAGTACTTATCTTGTACTGAATTATTTATTATGACTTTTCCTCCTTTGCCTCTAGAGGGTGAACTAATCAGGGCTGGGATCTCTGTTACACTGATATAGCTCTGGTGCACAGAACAAGTCCCCACATATTTTAGATGCTCCATAGACAGTGTTTGTATTGAATCAATGAATAAATGAATGAGTCAATTTTTCCTCTATTTCACCTATAAAATTGAGGCTAAATCAGATGACACATGATATTCCCACCAATCCCAGTACTTCTAAGGTCTCTAGAATAGAGGTCAAGTAACTTACCTGCCACCTTCAGTTCCAAATCAGCCTCCTGATAGAAGCCTCCATGTCTGAAGAAGCAGGTGTATATTCCATTGTCAGAAACCTGGACATTGTGGATGTGAACAGCAGCCTTCCCCTGGGTGAGGAAGTTGCTCACCAGTGAGGCCCGCCCTCTGTACTCAACCATCTGCTCCTCAGTCTGTTCCCGTTGGTTCCAATAGATGAACACTGCTTGTGAGAATGTGCTGCGGTACCACCTGAGTTCCATGTTCTCAGCATTCATGGCTGGGACTAGGGCGCAGGGCAGTATGGCATCCTCATCCAGCACTGCCACAATGGGGTGTTCAGGGCCCACAACCTGGAACTGCTCTGTGGACAGAGACATAGCGGAGAGAAAACTAGAGAGGCACAGACCAAAAAAACAAAGAACATACACCATCAGGTGGGAAGGCCAGGAAAGCTGGGGCAGGGGCCAGATGAGATGATACGTGAGGTCTGATGGATTTAGAAGAGATCTTCTGACCATTATGATGTGACCCAGAAATGATGCCAAAGACACTCCCTCATTGGCCTCTGCTCCTAGTCCCAGGCCCTCCCATAAAGTAATCTCTAATTCAGTGGTTCTCGAGCTTTCATGAGTCCCACCTTTCATGTCAGTGGGTGGGAGAGAAGGGGTCAGACAGGTTTAGAAACCAGATTCAACTGAGTAGACCTTATAGAGCACACATCACAGGACCCCACTCCCGTAGTGTCTCATTCAGTAGATCTGGGGTGAGCCAACGAATGTGCATTTACAATGAGTTCCAAGGGTGGTCTGGGGAGCACTCTTTGAGAACAACAGCTCTAACCTGGTCTGTCTCAGTAAAAACAGACAAAGAGCACACCTGCAGCCTAAGTCAGCACTCTGGTCATTCAGCCACACCCAGGAAATTCCCCTTTTCCATTTCTACATTTTTTACTTCAGTCCATATTTTTCTCCTCCACTGATGGAGGAGAGAAATAGATATGCACTTGAAAACACAGAGTCAAATGCTACTTGCTGCTGTGAAGATCCTGCTCTCCTCATTCACGGAAACCCCCATCACTACCTGTTCAAGAATCAAGTTCATCTCACTCTCCACCTCTTGGTGTTCTTGGTCTTTTGAGGCTATGACGTGACTCCTCTGCAGGACATGCTGCAATGGGCCTCCAAAGAGCTACTCTCAAACCCTGTGCCACTCCACTCTGGTCTCAGTCACCATTAAATCTCAACAGGAGGATGACTAGGATTCCTGACCTAAGTGATCCTCTTAACATGTGAGCTAATCCATGTTGCTGCTCTGCTCAAAGCCTCCACATGGCTCCCCACTTCTCCCCAGGCCTGACAAGGTGGACCCCCCTTCTCAAGACCCCTCTGAACTCACCTGCTGCTTCTCTCCCCATGGGCTCTAGTCCAGCAACACTGGCCTCTGTGCTTCCTCACACCTCTGCACACTGCCAGCTCTGCATAGGCTCCTTCCCCTGCAGGAACCCTCTTTCCAAATGGTCCTACAGCTCACACCTCCTTCTCCAGGGTTATGTTCCCATCTACACACCATCTCACTGAACACTGCTGCATGCCCATACCTGCCTCCCATGCCCCTGACTGTCCACACCCTGCCCTGTTGCATTTCCCATCGCAGTCATCTCCTCCAACACACTTAGGCCTCTCGGCCTAGTTGCAGTTATTACTCTCTGTCTCCTGCTAGAAAGTAAATTTTATGACAGAATTTCTGTCTGATTCTTTCATAGAATAGCACCTAACAATCAACATTTCATTGATATTTCAAGAATAAGAGATTTTTCTGTTTGTTACACAGCATATGCTTGCAGCATCAATAAAAAGGCAAGAAAACAAAAAATGAGGGGAAAATGTATTTTCACATGTTTTTCTGTCTTGCTTTTTAAAACCACACAGGAAGTCAGATGGGAACACTCACCTGTGGACAGCTGGACAAGGAGAAGCAGGGAAGTGAGACAGCAGAGCAAGGAGTGACTGCAGTGCCCCTCCATATCTTTAGAGCTGGGGAGAGAGATGGGAATGAGGGCCAAGACCTGCAGGCAGGAGGCAGGTCCAGCCCAGAGCTCCAGCACCTCAGCATAGAGAGCAGGGCTCAGGGCTGGACAGCAGTCCCCTGCTGGAATTAAGCATTTCCTATTGGTTCATCATACTAACAGGGTGCTGGGACCCCCACAACCCTGACACTGACAAACAGCTGAGCCTGGGCTCCTTCCAGCTCTTCTGGGAAAACTGTGGGACCAAGAAACCATTAGAGTTCAGAGCTGGCAGTGTGCAGCTGGTAAGAAGGTGTACCTTCCTTTCCAACCCCAACCACAGGGCAGCTCTACTCGGCCCAGAAAACCAGACTCTTTCCCTCTCCTTATCTGGTGTGCTGTGGTGGAAGCCATTCCTCTATCTCTCTGTTATTCACACACCACTCATGACCCCACAGAAAGGAATACCCAGATTCAGGGCCCCCATCAGGAAGGACATCCAGCTCCTGCTTGCCTCTTATTCTGCCCCCTAATTATGCCCAGGTTTGACCTGGGCAGTGTCATTGACAGACACATTACAGGAGCCTAGAACCCTGTCCTGCTTTTTTAGATGTGGAGTTTAACTAAACCTGAATCTCAGCCCAGTCCCTTCCACTGTGGGTTCAGGTCATGGCACTGCATTTGGCTAGTGCCAAACACTTCCCCACCAGTAGGTTTGTCCTTGTCTTCTTTTTCTTTGAGAAAGATTTCTGCCTGAGAGGTAAGGGACCTTCCTGGACACAGAGCATAGAAACAAAAGAGCCCTAGTCAAGAGAAAAGACCCCAAATCACCTACCGTTTGGAAGGAGCAGGCAGAAGGCAGTCTGTGGTATCAGGAAAGACAAATTCTGGGAGCCAACTTCTAGGCTGCCCTCCAGGCTCAGCCACTCTCAACAAGATCTTCTTGGCCTCAGTTTCCTTATCTGTATGATGGGCATAATTACAACTTCTACCCCAGGTTTTTAACGAAAATGACATGAATTTATAGTCACTACATATAATTAGAACAGGTCTGGTTCAAGAAAATGTTACAGAAATATCATTAAAACAAATGAATAAAGGAACAACTCTCATTAAGCTTCTCCTGGGTCTTTCTAGAACAAGACTGTTTCACTTACCCACCCCCACTGCCTCTCCCACCACCTGATCCTCAGCTTATTCCTGCCGCTAGCTTCTCCATGGTTTCCTCCTCTTAGGTCACAGGTGTCTTCAAAGCCAACTTACCTGCTTCTGTGTTCTCCCACCTATGAAAGGCTGTGACTTCCTGGAGCATCTCTAAACACAGCAGCTGGAGAAAGGTCAGAGTCACAAGGACCCAAGCAAGCCCAAAAGCTGCCCACAGAATTTGTATATGCCCCAAACTGCTCTCAGAGACTAATCCTGTGCTTCTGAGTCCAATGCTGGGGGCCCAAATTCCTCATTTCTAAGAGGCAGTTGGTCCCCAGGAAATGGGGAAAAGGCAGAGTCACACATAAGTTGCAGTGATTCTGCAGAGTCTCTGACACTGGGGCCCCCACTAAGCCCTCCCAGTCAGAGGAGCAACCCCTCTCTGGCTCCTTCCAACATCTAAAGTGAAAGCTTACAAAAGGAGCCTGGGCAGAGTGTGCCCTGCCCTCTGGACATCGCTCCCTTTATCAGGAAGAAGGCAGCAGAGCAGCAAAAAGAGGGTGCCCACAATTTTCCTGGAACACTGCAGAAAAACCACCACCATTCCCTGTCCTAAGGGCAGACTCCCCAAGGCCTAGAGATGTTAAGGTAATCTGACAAAAAGAAGAAAACAAAATTATATTGAATCCCTATCAAGAACTGTGCTACATAAATTTTACTTATGCCATCTCATTATCACAACTGCAGAGATAAAGCCATGAGCTCTGCCATCTGGTAACATCAAGCTAGTAACTTCCTAGATGAGGTAGAGGCTAGAGGTGCCAGGAGACTGCCTCCCACCACCACATCTGCAGCCCAGCCCAGCCCCCTGCCTCAGGTAACTCAAGTGCACAAGATCCTGAAAGGGACCTTGGACTCTCAGTTGCCTCAATTACGTGGCCAGAAATCTTATCTCACTCTGACCTGAGCATTCTCCCTCCCAAGGTTGCCCTTTGCCCTCCATTTGGGGAGGAGGGCATGGAAGTAGTGACAAAGTGCAGGTCAGGTCTCCTTAAAAAGCACTGGCAGAATCCTTGACCAGCACTGGCAGGGGATGCAGAACCTCAGCACTGTCCTCTCCCAGCTCATCAGGATCACCATTTGGCTGCTTGGACAACAAACACTATTCAGTGAACCATACATAATTTTTCTTGTATAAACATAAATGATTCTAATACTAATGAGGTTAATATTTACTTTTTTATGACCAACATTTAATAATTACCTCTTTTACCTATATTAAGTGTTTTCTAAATAGATTCGGATAAATGCCTAAACCATAAAACAACAGTTAATGCAAAATGTATGAAATGCATTGGAATTCTAAAACGTGACAGTGGATATAAAGCACTTAACACCCCAAACCCACCTACCTGAACTCATCCCCATTCTGTTCATACTGAGGATTGAACTCATGCTAGGGAAGCCCTTTGCCTCTGAGCCACATCCTCATCCCTTTAACCCCCTTTCTTAAGGATATAGGACCTTCTCTTTATCTTGACACTGCTAAGATGAGTTCACCAGGTTACCTTCTACTGTAGGAAAACGTTTAAAGAACTGTTTTCTGGCTACTTATTTCTATAAAAAAAAATGAAAAGGAAAAAGACACACAAGTTGGTGAATTTTGTTTCAGTTCCAAAATTTCCCTCCAATTTTTATCCAACATGAACCTGGCTGATGGGCTGCCCTGTGACCTGGAAGCCCACTGAGCAGAGTCCCAGTGATGTGGCTGTGCAATCCCCTTCTTCTGAGTCTGCCCATCTGCCTCTCTGGTGGGGAGGCCCCTCCCAGGTGAGGCTGTCACCTCCAAAACTGAAATATCCAGCCAGAAATGGCTGAGAGACCTCCTTAGGCCTCTCACTCTCTTAGTGGAGCTGGGGCCTGGCCCAGCCCCACCTTGAATTCAGCTGCTGAGCCCTCCTGCCTGGGGCCCCTGCCCCACCACCCTCTGCATGAGTATCCACCCCCTTCCTCATATGAGATTCCAGGGAGGTAAAGTATCCCTCTCACTCAAGACCTGAGATAGAAAAGGGTAAAGGAGTGAGGGCAGAGGGAAATTGTACATTCCTATAGAAAATTTAGTGAATTCTATTAAACTAATAAAATAAATAAATAAATAAATAAAAATGTAAAAGGAAAGACAGCAGACAGAGAGAAAGCTGCCATTAAAAAAGGAAGGAGCAGGGC